CCACACCTTTAGCAACACATGTTTTGGATCGCTCAACAGGAACATTTTCTTCAGGTTCCACTATAACCTGTCCACTGAACATATTGACCTGTGGACCAGTTAGATCTATGACATCTGCAATTTGTGAACTTCCAGGATCATGGTGATGTTGAGGAGTTTCTTTGGGTTCATTACCAAATTCCACCGCGTCTTTAGCAACACATTCATCTTCTAAAATTTGCACATCAGAATCAGAAGAATCATCTTTCGTTCCCAGATGTTTCTTACCAGGACAAGATTCATCTTTTGATACTTCAAAAGTTCTACGCCTTTTACGAAACTGTAACCTTCCAAGGGACAAATCTGCATTACTTGTCTTCCTTGTGCATGAAGAATTGCCATTTCTTTCGCCAAATTCTTCTCTTTCACAGGCATCAATGCCAAAAACTTGAACAGAAAACAATGATTTACTGAGATATTTGAATACCAAAAACTCCCCAAAATCAATGGAATGATCCAACACAAAATCATGCCATCCTTCTTGAAAAGCCAAAGAACTATCAACCACAGAGATTTTAACACTTGATGAGTTTCCAAGACAATCTTGAAGACATACATTCTGATTGACTAAGCCAACTAATCTTTTAGCGAATTTTGGCGGTATGAACTACATATAATTGTTTAAAAGCAAATATTAGATAGAAGTACCCAAACAAAAAGTTATTGCATGTGAAAAAAAAAGAAAGAAACATGCATCGAAAGCAATCACCTAGCATCAGCATATAGAAGGATATATCTATTAAAGACGCAAAATTTTAATGATGAAATATTTTATTATCTACTGGTGAAATAGAAGAACTGTTTCAGGCAGTCTACAAATATAATTTCCTCTTGCCGATTATCATGTTTACACATCCAAGAAATGCTGGAAGATACCAATAAATCTTAAACAAAGACAACAAATTCTAGCACTTGAAAGAAGCATAACAAAAACCAAATTTCAATAACTTGGGAAGTGTAGACAAGCTAGAAAAGCGAGGTGTTAATCCCAAAATATTGACAAAAAGAGATAAAACTATCTCTGAGGATATAAAAGGTATAAACAGGAAAAAAGATCTCACGAAAAAAGAATAGAACAGAAGGCATACCAAGTGCTCTTTGAAACCACCGAGCATGATCTTAAAGAAAGAAGGCTGTGCGGGAGGAGGAGGACAAGAAGGACCAGAAAAAGAAGAAGGGGAGGGCTTCTTCCCGCGATAGCAAGAAGGACCAGAAGAAGAAGAAGAAGGGGAGGGCTTCTTCCCGCGATAGCAAGAAGGACCAGAAGAAGAAGAAGGGGAGGGCTTCTTCCCGCGATAGCAAGAAGGACCAGAAGAAGAAGAAGGGGAGGGCCTCTTCCCGCGAGAGCATTGCCTTGTGTTGTACTTCCGGACCACATTGTTCTTCTTGGCACCAGCCATCTTTTTCCTTTGCCCTTCGCAAATCTTCGCTTTTCCTTACTGCTGCTTTTTCTTCTTCGCCATAGAGACCGTCGAAACCCTAACCTATTTCTTGCCCGTTCCCTCGCCGCAATTGAAGTTCACCCCTTCCAAAAACCCCCGTAGAACCCTCTTCTCCGTCCCTCGTTCGGGGCTTCTTTGGGCCACTGAAGATTAAAATTTGACCGTCGCCGTTTACGATTTTAAATTAATGTCAGATTTGATGGTAATTCTGCCTCGCGTCCGAATGAACCCGTTCGCCGATCCTCGGTGGGCCCCGCTACGATCGACGAATCGAATGCTTCAGCAGCGCTATGACGCATTAAACTTTTCAGCCCCCAATCATTGGAGGCCAACTGGGTGGCCACGTCGTTTGTCAGGTGGGCTCCTTTCCAAGCGAACCGAAAGGAACCCTCCCCCCCCCCCGACGAGCTCAGCAGGGCTCTTTTGGGTCACACGTGGGCCCCGCGTTGTTCTCCCGGCGCGACTCAGCGTGGCGACGGGATGGGAGGGTAGGTATTAGAACTCGACACGGGTACAACGCGAGCGAGTTCGATTGGCATTGGTATCAAATCCAGCAGATGGCAGATTGAAAGAAGAGGTGCGATGGACGGTTCTCGAGGGCCCTCTTTATCTTCACGGTCCTTACCTTGCCGGACCAGCGAAGCGTCGCAATTGGAACTCGATGGTCTTTCGTTCATCAAGTGGCTTATCTGTTGTCTTTTTTTATTTTTTAGTTTTGCGGTGCCACGGAATAAACCTAATAATAACTTGCATTTAAGATGCTGACAGACTGACTAAACCTCTTTGGAACTCGATACTCTTTTCTTCGTGACAAAATGTTGTCTTTTAGTCCTGCGAAGAAACCTAATAAGTTGCATTTAAGATACTGACAGTATGACTGAAAATTTAAGATACTGACAGTCTGACTGGAAGAATGATGTCATGAAAAGAAATCAAATCCAACAGCGATACGTTCCAATATCTTTGGTGAGATTAAGTTTGCACAAAGCGGCACATTTGGTCCGTTCCATAATAGAGAAGGCAGCTGTAATTTTACATTAACAAACAATTTTACCTATAAGAAAACACCTATGAATAGACTTTGTGAGCGCATCCGAGCACACAATGGTGACGTAAGATATGATCAACTACCGGATCGTGTATTGTGATGTGGTTTTGGGTTTATGCGATCAGAATCGGATTACCATGATACGAGATCGATTCATCTTTAAATATAGATCTTAAATCATCTATCTGGTGCACTGTATATTCGTCCATATGATAGAAATGATTGATCTCGTAGTCGCTCATATGGAGACACTAAAGGTATAGTACAGGTGCTCATTAGAGAATGAGTTAACTGTTTGATCTGCTTACAGAATGCTGGATGATTAAAGATATTTGATATCATAGAGTGATTCCGTAGTCTCAGTTGTATATTTGGTGTTGAAACTCGTATTTTGATGATGAAACCAATTGATAAGTGTTTATGATTTGATATGTGTTTTAAGTGACGTAGGATGCTTCGATCAGGGAGAGACATTTAAAGCTGGAAGAATCATGTTGGGCCGGAGAAATATGCCAAAAGATTGGATGTCACGCCGAAGGATCGGTCGACGTATCGACAGAAAGCTTTGGGCCATGGATTCAGGCATCGAGCCAAGAAGAGCGGATATTGCACCAAGGATATCGGAGTTGCGGAGTCAACTGGCCAATTGGGCAATAGGCCACAAGAGAGGACGATGCGCCGAAGAATCAGATGAAGCGTCGATGGACCAATGACATGCCGGACAACATGATTCAAGCTTAGTAATAATTGTCTAGATCGAAGTGTGTTTTACATGTGCAAGATTAACTACGATAACAAGGCATAAAGCAAAATGAAGTCTCAAAGTTAAGGACGCGATTTCATTGAGAGTTCGAGAGTTCGTCGGAAGTTCTACAGGAACTAGTCGAGAAGTCCAGGAGCTTGCCAAAAAAGCTCGTCAAAACTTACCAAGAAGATCATCACGAAGTCCAGGAGCTTGCCAAGAGTCCGTTGGAATATTGCCGAGAGATCGTCGGAAGTTCGCCGGAAGCTCGCCGGAAGAAACTAGACTTATAGACTTGTTTAGCTTAGAATATGTCTTAGGAATCGTAGTTAGCATGTAATTGGGATTGGATTTGGGCCAACCCAATTAGGGGCTAGTTGGGCCCATGTAAGAACTAGGTTGGGCCCAATAAAAAGGCCTAAATAGTGCCCCAAGAGGTGACATCGTTGTGGCACAGTCTTTGAGACTGTGTCAGGTGGTGGTACCATCGGTCTGGGTAGTGGTACTGCCCATACACAATCTCTAAGAGGCTATAGGCGGTGGTACCACCAGTTTGGGCGGTTGTACTGCCCAACACAGCCTCTCGGACAGTGGTACCGCTAGACTGGGTGGTGGTACCACCGAGTGCAGTGTCAATGTTAGACTGACACTGATGGTGGTACCGCCCAGAACAGGCGGTGGTACCGCCCAACACATGTGGTGGTACCGCCCGGACCCAAGAAACCTGGGATAATATGTTTTTAAGCTCCAAGTTTGAATCAACTTGAAGCCTATAAATACCCCTCTCATCCCTGGTTAACACACACAAGAGTTGAGAGTAAAAATAGAAAAAAAATGTTGCTGCAATCTTGTGTGAACTCCTCTCAAAATTTCTAAGGGTTAGAATAGTTTGAGAGAGGAGTAAGTGGGGGTGTAAGGGTTGTCTCCTAAACCCAATAAAAGGAGAATTGAGTTGTAAGAAGGAGATTGATCTTCGCCTTTTAAAGGAAGATCAATAGTGGATGCCGATGGCCTCGACGGAAGAGGAATCGACGAAGTGGATGTAGGTCACGACGACCGAACCACTCTAAAATCTGGTTTACATTTTACTTTGAGCAATTTATCTTTACTATAAACCTTTTTAATAGCTTATTACTTTCAATACATTTACGAACGTGTTTCAAGTTAAGATATTTACGAAATGGTTTATAGTCGGAAACAGATTTAATCGAAATGAAGTTTTAAACCGACGTTATTTTACCGCTGCACTAATTCACTGCCCCTCTTAGTACCGACTCTTTTCCTAACAGTTGGTATCAGAGCCTCGTTATTTCTCATTTGGTTTAATACCCAAGAGAAATAGCTCTTTTCGGCTTTCAAGAGGGGCTTTCTCTCATTCATCCTCCCTTGTTCAATGGGACAGACTATACATATTAGAAAACTCGAATGAGAGTTTTCTTACTTTTGATTGATTTAAATTTATGGAATATGATCGAAAACATATTTCAAAGCTCTTCTCTTTCAATAAACGATTGGAATGATTTGGAGAAGAAGATGTTTTCTCTAAATGCTAGAGCTACAAATGCTCTATTTTGTGCCTTAGACAAACGAATTCAATCGGGTTTCTTTGTGCGAAACGACTTTCGATATTTGGCACATTCTTGAAACCACACACGATTTCGAATGCACTAGTAGATTATAAGTTTCGAAGATTAATCTTTTAATGCATGATTTCGAATTGTTTCATATGAAACCAAGCGAAACTGTTGTTGACATGTACACCCGTTTTACAGATATTGTCAATGGTTTAAAAGCTCTTGGTAAAAGCTTTTCAAATTTTGAACTCATTAACAAGATTTTAAGATCTCTTTCTAAAAATTAGAATTCGAAAGTAACGACAATACAAGAATCAAAAGATTTGAACTATTTTTCAATTTAAGAACTAATTGGGTCTTTAATGACCTACGAAATGACTAAAGTGGCACTTGACGAATATGAGAACCATCTTCCAAAGAATATGAAGGATTTTGAACTTAGAATAATTGAAGACCACTCGAGCATAAGATCAAGTGATGGTAAACTTGAACTACTCATGAAATTTAAAAAGTTCATGAAATAAAAATTAAAAAATAAAAAGAATGTAACTACTTGCTATAAACGCAAGAAGAAGAACATAAATTGGGATGAATCTAGCTCATCTGAAGACGAGGAGAAAATCAACAAAGGCGAGGTGGCAAACTACACCTTAACGACATTTGACGATAAGGTAATCAAAATATCTTTAATTTATTTCGAAATTACATGATGATTTTCATGAGTTATTTTTAATTTAGTTTAGAATAATTATTTTTCTTGAAAATTACATGTTTTATGTTAATTTAATAAAATTATAGATTTAAATCTAATGATCCTATGTTTATTTTTCAAGAAGAAATAATGTATATCTTGATGATTTCTGAGTTTGATTGAAACCATGCTTGATGTCTTAATGAAAATATTAAGAAATATGATATCATGTTTAATGATGATGCATGACTTTTGTATGGAAAACTAGGCATGAAAAGTTAGATTCACCTAAAAAGAAAAATGCATGACTACAACAAACAAAATTATCTTGATGGAAAATGCTTTATGTTTGATGAAATCAATTTCGATGATGCATAATGATGTAATTATGTAATAAAAATATTTAATATTTTGAAATCATATTTTGAGGTCATGCATATTGATCATGCTTAATAAATTTTGAAATTATGCATGATGATTCTTGAGATTTATGGATTATCGATTTTACGGTAATGAAAGTTCTCTTTCATTTTAAACGATGACATATATTTTGATTTGGCATAAATGAAAAAGACATGCTTGTATGAAATAAACAACTTTAAATGAAACATAAAAAAGGAATACATTTTCCATCTCTATCTTATTGATTTTTCGATAAGAGATTAATGAATCTATTT